TGGTCTTCAGGCGCCACGCACACTCCTCCCTCCGGGTTGTGCTCTCAGATCCCTCTCCTGGCATGCTCTCCCCAGATACCACATGGACTGCTCCCACTCTTCCTCAGCGCTGTCCTCAAACGGCACCATCTTATCAAGGAATTCCAGCCACACTCTAAAACTGCAGATCGCATTCCTGATACCCGGGTGCACCCCTCCCTTCCCCGCCAGATTTACCACAGTATATATCTTTACTCGACGTACGTACATTTTACTTATGCCTGTCTTGCCCCACAATAATGCAGCTTCCATGAGGGCAGGATCTACAGAAAATGCATGATCAATAAGTACTTGTATGGAGGGAGGGAGGGAGGGAGGGAGGGAGGGAGGGAGAAAGGAAGGAAGGAATACAAGGGTGAACTCCCCTACCACTCCCGGACCTTAGCTTTCATTTCCTTACTTTGGCAGATTGAAGAATGAGAGATACAGTCTAAGGAAAACCAAAAGAAGAAGAAAATCAAGGCGAGCTGAAACCTTGAAAGAGGAAAGCGGACACAGAGGTGATAGGAGAAAAGAGAGGCGCTGTCATGGGCGAGACAGAGGCAAAGGGGAAACGGGGAAGGGAAGCGCGAGGAGGGAAACTCCGGGATATTCTGTTTGAGGAATGGCTTCACTTAAACCATAAAGATCACAGGCCACCTTGGGGCCCATGCAGACTTCTGATACACAACTGCCCAGACTGTCCCGGTGACTCAGCCCTGCAGGAGAGTGATGGCTCAGGGCCAGACGCTCTCTGCTGAAAGGACTGAAGAGCACACTCCTAATGTCCTTCCACTTTGTAGTCGACCGCAGTCATTTTCCAGGACAAAGCTTCTTTTTGAGTCTGAAAATTAACAGTGGAACCCAAAGGGTCAGAACCATAGCAGAGATCATTACTACAGGGGACAGGGTCTCTGTAATGCTGGTGATCACAGAGGTCACCTTGATCCTTTGCTCACCCAAGATGTACCCTCCTATTACAGATTAGCTGAAGCACAGGTGTGTATCAAAAGACAGAGACAATGTAACAATCCCATGAGCAGAAGAATGAACACATAGAATTGCTCCAGAGTCCTCATTTATTTAGTACAGAGAGGGTGTTAGTTTCCACTGACCAGGAAGGCTAGGAAGTGAAAAACTGTAAGAGCCTTGCAACTTCTTGTTAAATCACTTTTCCGACACATGGCAACTGGTGATTAATTACTGCGCTGGAAGATAACATTCCCACGGAGAGGGGCCGGAAGTGCAGCTGCTGTCCCTGCCTGATTAGACACTGCTGAGCACACGGCGCCAGCCTGTTATTTCCGGCGATTTTGGCATTGCTGCTATATTTATTTTACATAGCTTCATGGAGCCCATTTCACAAAACGTGTCCCTACCAAAAACCGGAACAGAAAAAAGAGAAGACTGTAAAGTGTGTCTGTGCAGGTGGGTATGTCTGCGAGCAAGAGAAAAGGAGGGACAGAGACTAGGAGAGCAGGGATACAGGACCCCTTTCTGTGATCCCTTCTGCTTCACAAAGAAAGGCCTGCAAGGGAGATGCTTGGTTTCTTATAAGCCTGGAAGGGAACTGACCCAGGTCAGCTGGTCAAAACTTTCTGGGCCTAGCCCTGGCCGGTTTGGCTCAGCGGTTAGAGCATCGGCCTACGGACCAGAGAGTCCCGGGTTCGGGTCCCACTAAGGGCACGTATCTCGGTTGCAGTTTGGCCCGGACCCCAGTTGGGATCGTACGGGTGGCAACCACGTGATGTGTCTCTCTCTCTTCCTCCTTCTCTCTCTCTGTTCTATCTGAAGATAAATGCCAAAAAATAAAATAAAATTAAAAAATAGAAAATAAAAATAGACTTTCTGGGCCTAAAAGATAAAACTGAACTTTGTCGCCCTGGCCGGTTTGGCTCAGCGGTTGGAGCGTCGGCCTGCGGTCCAAAGAGACCCGGGTTCGGTTCCCGCTAAGGGCACGTACCTCGGTTGCAGTTTGTCCTCAGCCCTGGTTGGTCATGCGGGTGGCAGCCACTCGATGTGTCCCTTTCACGTCGATGTTTCTTTCTCTCTCTCTCTCTCTTCTCCTCTCTCTCCGTCCCACTCTATCTGAACAAAAAGTGGAAAAGTGTCCTCAGGTGAGGATTAAAAAAAAACAAAAAAAACCCTGAACTTTGTCATCATCCCAGCCCTTCACCAACACCAAGAGAAGCTTTAATTCGGTACCTACTCCTTCGTCCACTACACATGATGAGCACTTACTCTGGTCCGGGCCCCGAGAAAACAGACAGGAAAAGTCTTGGCCTTTCGGAGCTCAGTGTGGAAGGAGAGGGTCCCTGACAGGAGTGGGAGGACACACGCCCAGTGCTTGCGTTTACACTGCTCTATGTCATAATCCACCGAGCAAGAGAGTGGCAGCAGCCGCAGGCCGGTCCCCGGCTCTCACACGTCATCCTGCACCCACCTCCACGGACGCAGGCACGACTCGGTGCCATTCAGTTATTTCCCGAAGAAACGCTTCGCTGGCACTCAGCCCCCGGATGCCAACTCCAGCACTGCCCAGTCAGCATTTCATGAGTCAGGTGCCAGTTTTTCTCTGGTATGTGTTTGAGCCCCATACTGTCTGCCAAAAACTGTGTTAATTTACTTATTTCAGCTAAATAATAAAAAAAAAAAATCATTTAGAAAGGATGATTGAATTTAGGCGATGATATTCCTCGGAGAATTAGTAATGCTTCTCTCTACCCTCAGGCCTCCGTGTTCTTCTGTTCCCCTTGTCGATGTTATTATGAGGCTAATTCAATAATGAGATCATTCCCCATAAGAGCGGCCAAATAAATGCAGCGTTCAGTCACACCTGGTTTCTCTAATCTGAGCAAGGAAGGCTTTCCACCAAGTTTAGCCTAAAATAGGGAGTTTAATGAACATGAACACACACACACACACACACACACACACACACACAGAAATAAGAGGGAAGGAGGCCAGAGAGCAGAGGAACAGGGTAGCAGGGGGATGGATGAAGTGAGAGATTGGAGAAGAAAGGTTAACCATAAAGATATATGGTTATATGATTCCAAAGCAAAGTTCCCAGCATATGTCTTAATAATTGTCAGAGTAATGTAATACTTCATCATTCCTTTAAACGTCTCAAGAATTGCTTCAGATTTCCTTGAACTTCTTAAGGAATCAAAATATCAACCAAAAAAAACAGAGAAGTACTAAATATTAGGCAGGACCCTTCTGGATGATTAAAAACAAATGACTTCCTAGCCATAAAGGAGTGTGTGGAATAATTCACCCAGATATAAACTCAGCACTGAGAAGCCATAATCATCATCTGTCCTCTTCAAAACTGGTTACGCTTTCATTAAAACACCAAAGGTCTGATAATTGAGGTAAGGTATAAATGGTGTTGAGACCACATAAAGAGAGAAAAACATTAACTCTCAAATTTGAAAAGGCACATTATAAAGAAACATTAAATATGAAATCAGCAAACCTAGCAAAGAGAAAGTGATGTTTAAAAGAGGCAGCTAGGCCCTGGCCGGTTTGGCTCCACGGCTAGAGCACCGGCCCTTGGGTTCAATTCTGGTCAAAGGCATATACCTCGGTTGCGGTTCCATCCCTGGCCCTGGTCGGGGTCATGCAGGAGGCAACCAATCAATGATGTGTCTCTCTTACATCGATATTTCTCTCTTTCTCACCCCCTCCCCCGCCCCACTCTAAATGGAAAAATATCCTTGGGTGAGGATTAAAAAAAAAAAATAATAGCCCTGGCCAGTTTGGCTCAGCGGTTAGAGCATCGGCCTGCGGTCCAGAGAGACCCGGGTTCAGTTCCTGCTAAGGGCACGTACCTCGGTTGCAGTTTGTTCCCGGCCCTGATTGGTCGTGCGGGTGGCAGCCACTCGATGTGTCCCTTTCACATTGATGTTTCTCTCTCTCTCCCTCCCTCCCTCTTTCTCTCTCCCACTCTGTCTGAACAAAAAAATGGAAAAACGTCCTCGGGTGAGGATAAATAATAATAATAATAATAATAATAATAATAAAAGAGGTAGCTTCAATTACATGAAGGGAAGGGACAGCATGGACCGGGATTAGTACCCACTTCCCCCAAAGAAAACAAGAGGAGACGGGTTTCAGTTGGGACAAACCAGAGAGATGAGGAAACAGATTCATGTGAAAATACAATTAACACCTGTTACTTATAGTGAGAGAAAAAAATGGGAAAATCCAAATGCTTACATATTGGCAAATTATTAAATACATAAACTATGGTTCATTCATACCATGAAATTAACAGTAATATTTTCAGGCATTAAAAGTAACATTTTCAAGGAACAGTAATAGACATTGGAAAAACCATGTTTTCGAAGAGTGTTATGAATATGGGGAAATACAGTGAATGACGATAAAGCCACATCACATAGTTTTAACTTTGCGGCAGGAGAAACCGTGTGTCTGCAGGTACGAAGACTCTTCTGTACAGACGCAGGCACAGAAGCCTGGAGAGCATGCCCACTATCGCGGTCTCTGCAGCAAAGGTTTACGAGTAATGTTCACATTCCCTCTGTATTTTGTATTACATACATTATGAAATAAGCGTGCATTGCTTTTATAACCAGAAAAAAGTTAGTGAAGTTTTGTGGTAAAGAGAACTTCAGTTAGACAATAGGAGAAATGACCTGTCTAATGGATGTTAAGCACCCAGTAGAGTTTTATAGAATTACCTTCTCTCTGACTGAAGAACATCTACTTATTATTTTTTGCTTTTTAAAAATTGAGATATAACTGACATATATGTTAGTTTCAGTTCTACAATATAATATTTGATATATGTATCTACCACAAAATGATCATCACAATAAGTTTAATTAAAATTCATCACTGTTTTTCTTTTTAAACTAACTTTTTAAGAACCAGTAATCTACTTTTAAAAATGACTTCATAGGCAATGAGGTCTTGGCTTTGGCACCAGAACTGAGCCCAATCCCCTCTCTCACCGTGCGAAGTCCAGGTCTGCCTCCCGCGACATGGTGATGTTGGTCAAATTCTGCTGAAGGACAAAGATGTTCCTGCACATTTTCTTGATGCCAGACTCACTGATGCGCCGGAAGTACTGGGCACCGTTAATGAGGATGCAGGAGATCAGGTGGCCTAGGCCTGGGGGACCAGCACAGGGGTGGGGAGACAACAGGAGACACATTAGTGCCATCTTGCAGAAAGGGACACGCGGGATTTCTCTCTTCTAATCCTCCACCAACTTAAAGGACCAAAGAAAATGTATCTCTGATGGCTGCACCAGTGGACAGCACAGTGGCTTCAGAGTACTCATACACTGCCCTGGTACTCACAAACGGGGAGACGTTTTGCTGGCAACAAAACCTGGCAAATCCACAACTCCAGCACCACCACATACACCTGGTCACCATGCCAGGGCTTAGAGAATATGCCAGGTTTTATCAACTATTACAGTGCACAGGAGCTCTTTTACTGTACAGATATTTGGGGAGCGGAGAACACATGTAAATACAATGATGTGTTTGGCCTCCTCTTCCTCCCACAAAACAGATAGGGGTGTATGTTAGCTCCAAAGTTGACTGGGAACCGATATAAGCATAAAGAAATCAATAAGGAATTGGGCTGAGTTCCCACGAGATACCTATGGACACTTCTAGGGTCTCCCAAGTGGTGTGTTCTCATCTCCAAAGGACTGTCTTGAGGTCTATGAAACTGACCAAAGAGCAGGTCAGAACATCAACAGACTACGGGGTCCCATTCAGGGTATCCTGTGAAATTAAGTTGAGGAGCCCTGTTCAGAATAACCGAGGCACATGTCGATTACCATTTTAAAAAGCTAGATTTTAATTCTAAATACGTGGGAGAAAGTAAATTCTTTCTTCTTTTCCCTGTTCTTGGACTCTAGCAGGCTGTTTCCCCCAGAACTCGAATGCTAGTCGGACTGGTTGCAAGTCATCTGCTATGTTTATTTTCCTCTTCTGAGGTCACAGTCCCTCCACGGTGACTCTCTGTGGTTCAGATCAGAGCGCAGGGCGTGTCTCCCGGGTAATGGCTCCCCCTGTCTTTAAAATGTGTTCTCCCTCCACTGGGATGAGGTGGAAAAGGGAGAGGAGGGTGTGTTCTCTCTCGCTCCTTCGCTGCTCACCAACCTTACTTCAAGCCCACCATCTCACTTGTTTGAGCTACTATTGGAAAGTGACGTAAAAACACACATGGGTTTTACATTCAACACTAGACAACTGACTTGGGTGAAAAAGCCCCGTAGACTGAGTTTCGGCTGATACTCCTGAGCCCACAGCTCTGACACACGCAGTAGGTCCTAAGTGTGGGCCACGGAGGGGGCTGGAGGGGGACTGTTTGTAAACACTAGTAAACACCAATAAATATGTTACATAAATAAACTTATGAAGTAAATAATAACAATTAACAATAAAACCTATTAGCAGCTGGTCTGCTTTATCACCATGACCAGCAATTTCAAACAAGAGCTGTGATGACGTTCTCCCTGTCACACCAAGGAATGCTGACACCTGTCACCCCCTCTGCCACCTTGGGAAACTCAATAGTATACCTTTTGAATTTAGAAAATTATTATCACAGAGAAACAACTGGCTTTTTAAAGCCATGAAGTCTGAAACTTTCCCAGTTAAAATCCATTCCAAGTCAGAGGATTATACCTGTATTTCAAGACATGGTCTCCCAGCAAGATTACACGTGAAGAAATGCCTGTGTAAAATGAGAGGTAAACTCTGGGAATGGTCAGTGTCGGGCTTGGAAGAGACCTGATCAAGACCAACGAGGATATCCTGGCCGGTTTGGCTCAGAGGTCAGAGTGTCAGATCATGGACCAAAGAGTTGCAGGTTCGATTCCAGTCAAGGGCACGGACCTCATTTGGGGTTCGTCTCTGGCCCTGGTTGGGGTCATGCGGGAGGCAACCAGTTGATGTGTCCTTCTAACATTGATATTTCTCTCTCTCTCTCTCTCTCTCCCCCTCCTTCCCACTCTGTCTGAAGAGAAATGGAAAAAAAATAAAAATAAATCCCAGGTAAGGATTAGAAAGAAAAAAGACCAAGGAGGCAACTGTGTGGCAAGGGGGATGTGACCTCGCAGGTGGGCAGTACAGCTCCCAGCTCAGAGGTACCTCGGCTCCCAGATCACTATGCCTTTCACTCAGGCATGCTTCTGCTAACGTCTTTCAGGGATATTTCCCTGCAGAACACATCTCCAGCTTTAAGACACGATACATGAAAAAAACAAAACAAAACAAAAAAGCCCAGGATTTCTGGGTCCTCATTTGCTGGGACGTAACTGTTTCACGAAGCAATCAATGGCCAAGCATCATCACCCCCTTTCTTTGGGTTGCTACAATCCTTTAGACAACAAACCTTCTATTTTCCCTTTATTTTTTGACAATGTACCTTCTTTTTTTTTTTTTTTTTTTTTTTTATCCTCACCCGAGGATATTTTTCAATTTTTTGTACAGATAGAGTGGGAGGGAGAGAGAGGAAGGGAGAGAGAGAGAGAAACATCGACGTGAAGGGACACATCGAGTGGCTGCCACCCGCACGACCAACCAGGGCCGGGGACAAACTGCAACCGAAGTACGTGCCCTTAGCGGGAACTGAACCCGGGTCTCTCCGGACCGCAGGCCGATGCTCTAACCGCTGAGCCAAACTGGCCAGGGCGACAATGTACCTTCTTAATTGTTCTAAATAACACTGGCTTCATTTGGTGAGACACCATGGATGCTTTTAGCACCTGGGTTCATACACAAAGAAATGAAAATGAGAAAAGAGGGAATACGCTTTGAAGTCCTGAAAGGGGTCCCTGGAAGGAATTTGGCGGGAATTTACGTGGATGGCACCCCGTCTCTCCAATGCTGAGGCAAACACCTCCGATGCGCTGTCTTCCACCCCCTCCCGCCTGCCCGCGGCCTGCCCTGAGGGCATCAGCATGCAGCCCAGCAGAGACGGCTGTTGTTTTCCAACAACATCACAATGAGGGATTGTTCAGGGTTCTCTCCTCCTGCTGCGTGTTTCTTTCTCTTTCATGAGCCCCTCTTGAGTTAATTCGGGGCCCTCCTCACATTTACCCAGCTCTCAGGGGTGGCGTGTCAGGGAGGCAGCCGGGCTGCCATCTGCCTTATCTGGGATTAAATCTCCTTATCAACCAGGAGCAGATGGCAGCCATATTGTGTCTACCTAGCCATACCCGGAGACACCAGGTATTGCAGCTTTAATCAAAAAGGAAATAAAAATCCCAACAACCTTTCCCACAAGTTTTGCACTTCAATGATATAGAAAGATCAGGAAAACCTCCCCACTTTCTTCCTCCTGATCGCCCAGGGACAGGGGCAGGGACAGGGTCTGACCTTCAAATATGTACTGGAACTTGTGTTGCTGAAGGCTGGCACTCATGGCCTCTTCAATGGCACTGATGTCCTTGTTCAGCTTGACCACCAGAGGGTCATAATCCATGCTTTCCACGTTAGCAACAATGGCGTAGTTCCCCTCCTTCGCAAGAGGGATGAGATAGTGGAAACAGTGAACCCTGGAAAAGACGGAGATGGGGAGAGCGATTAGCCAGACATCTTTCTGATGAAAACAATGATCTTTTTGTGACAGTGCACCAAAATAGTCACAGAAGCAGGGGCCCTGTCAACCGTATGTACCCTTCCTCCTTTCACCAGCAAGTCGTCGTAGTTACTCCAGAGGGCAGCGACGTGATCCTAGCAAGTCAGCTCTGTGGCCTTGGCTTATTTGATGCGTACGCTGTGGTGAGAAATGGATGGGCTCTAAGGTTCTCTTCAGTGACAGGACTGGGTGCACGTGTGAAGAGCATCAGATCTTTCAACAGACACCGCTGCAGTGAACATGAGAGGCAGACGTCACCCATCCTAAATGTGTAAGCTTTACATGAGACTGCGTCGGTGTCACTTCCCAAGGCCAACCCTTAACAGCTGTGTGACTCCAGGGGAGTTATTCTGTGTCTCAGTTTCCTTATCTGTGCAATGGAATGACAGCAGAACCTAAGGAGCTACTACACAGAAAGTGTGTCGCATAGGGACTGGCACGAAGAAAGTGTCCAGTAAGTGTTGGCTGTCACCACTATTAGTATATTTATTAATGTTAATCTATTACTTAAATAAAACACAAAACATCCATGAATTTGTAAAAAAAATTGTGCTAGGCCCTGGGAATGTAAGAAGCAGTTTGTGTCCTTGAAGATTCCACAGCCCAGTGGGGCAGACCAAGAAAAAATGACCACGCCCTGGCAGGTGTGGCTCAGTTGTTGGGCATCCCGTGCACACAAAGGATGCCGGTTCGATTCCTGGTCAGGGCAGGTGCCCGGGGTTGTGGGCTTGATCCCCAGTAGGGGGCATGTAGGAGGCAGCTGACTGATGATGTTTCTCTCTCACATGGATGTTTCTCTCTCCTTCTCTCTTGCTCTCTCAAAGTAAAAAAAAAAAAAAAAGACCAAAAGAGGGCAGTGTTTCCCTAAGAAGCACACACACTGAGGGTGTCAGGAAAGGACATCATCTGAGTAGGCTGGAGGAGGAAGTGTACTTCTGTGTGGAAATGCCCGAGTCAGTTTGATTATGCACAATTCTTCATTTCTTCTTACTGAATTTATTGGGGTGACATTGGTTAATAAAAGTATATAGGTTTCAGGGATACAATTCTAGAATGCATCATCTGTATACTGTATTGTGTTTACCACTCCAAGTCAAGTCTCCCTCCATCACCATTTATCCCTCCATACCCTCTTCTACCTCCCCCACCCCCTTCCCTCGGTTCTTTTGGTAGATATCAGTAACTGCCAAAGAATTTGAGGTGGGTAAGGACTGGCTACTTTATAACCTTTGTATTAAGTTGAAATGAAAAGCATGTTTTAGTCCATATAATTCTACCAGACCCAGAGGTATTTATTTTAAAAAACAAAAAACAAAACACCATCCATAGTTCAAACAGGCCATTCTGTGAGCTCAGTGAAATCTTAGCTCTCTGTTTCGGATGCTCTGTCTGATCTTGCCACCGAAGCTCCCCGGGAGGCAGGTATGATGACATTTCGGGTCAGGATTCTGTTACCCTTATAGTTGGCATCAGGTAACAAGAAATGTTCCTAAACAACTGGCTGCAAAGCCCTGGCATTGTCCCCAGCGATGTAACCCAGGCCTGACTACTGCCTTTCTTTTTTAAGTTGGGTTTACTGAGAAATAACTTACAGACAGGAAAACTCACCCTATTTCGAGTACTGTTCTATGACTTCTGAACTGTATACAGTTGTATAAGCACCACCATAATCAAGTTATAGAAGAGTCCATCACCCCCAGAATTTCCTTGTCCCCCTTGAAGTCAACCTCTGCTCATACCCCAAGCTCTTGCAACCGCTGACCTATTCTGTCCCATACTTTCATCCCTCAGAATGTCATATAAATGGAATTGCACAGAAGGTGCCTTTGGAGTGTGGCTTCTTTCATTCTGCTGAGTGTCTGAGATGAGTCCATGTCGTTCCGTTAATGCTGAGCAGCTGCCCACGTACGAAGGGCCCGTTTCACTCTTCACCAGTTGATATCTGTGTTGCTTCAGGTTTGGGGTGATTATGAACAAAGCTGCTTCACGTACAGGTCTTTGTATAAGTTTTCATTTCTCTTGGGTAAATACCTAAAAGTGGATCGGTGGGTCATGCGGTAAGCGTATGTTTACTTTTACAAGAAACTGCCAAACTTTTCCAAAGGAGCCGCGCCATTCTCCTTCCCTACCAGCAACGTGGAGAGCTCCAGTTGCTACGTCCCCCGCCCGCACTTAGTGCTGTCGGTGTCTCAGTGTCGGCTTTACAAAGGCGTAACTGGCGTATAGAACGGTTAGGTATTTAAAGTGTTTTGATATAGGCATACTCTGTGAAAGGATTCCCCCGTCTAGTTAACTAACATCCATCTCCCCACGTATTTATTCTATTTTTTGGTGTGAACATGTAAGTTCTACTTTAGCAGCAAATTTCAATTACACAATATAGTGCTCTCAACTACAGTCATCATGTTCTACATTAGATCGCCAGACCTTATTCATCTTATAGCTGAAAGTTTGTACCCTTTTACCAACCTCTTCCTATTTCCTCCTCTTCCCCAGCCACCGCTTACTTTTCTTACCGTTCAACTTCGTTTTTAGATTCCATATATAAGCAATACCATGGCTAATTGTCTTTCTTTGTCTGGCTTGTTTCACTTAAAATAACGCCCTCAAGTATTTGTCAGTTAACAAGAAATTTCAGTCATTTCTCAAAGATATATAGTGATCCCTCATTGTGGTTTGAGTGTACATTTTCCTAACGACTGATGACATTGGGCATATTTTCATGGGCTAATTTGCTATCCATGTATCTTTGTGTTCACATCATTTGCCTACTTTTTTTAAAAAAACTAGTTGCTTGTTTTCTTACTAAGCTTTGAGAGTTCTTTATATTTTCTGGATGCAAGTCTTTTACTAGATATGCACTTTGCAAATATTTTCAGCCAGTTTTTTACTTGTCTTTTTTTTTTTTTCCCCACATGAAAGTTCTTAGTTTATTAATCCTCCCATGAAAAATCTACACATCATCACAGGTAAAGTCACAAGGAATCCTTGCTCCTTCTGTTGTCCGGTCTCCAGCTCCCTCTCTGTAGCACCGGCGCTGGCCTCTGGGGCCCCCGGCTCTTCCTTGTCTCCGTGTGTTCCTGTCGCTGTGTGCTTGAGGTCTTCCATCCTCACGCAGGCTGTGTCTTGCAAGTCCGTGTCTGGGGTCAGTTTTCTTCGTGTCATCCCAGGAATCATACAGCACGCCAAGACCAGCTGCTCTGCCACCACCCAAACGGGTTCAGAATCCAAATACAAAGATGACATGTGGTGATGTCTTAGACACTTTGGCTACCTTTTCCTGAACTTCTGTCTTAGGTGCTGCTGCCCTCCCAGGCTGAAGGACATCACTGGCCACCCGTTTCCCCCGAAGTGGTCGGCTGGCCTGAAGGTCCTGGTCGGACAGCTCCTCGGTCGCTCCTCAAGCAGCCGGGAGAAGCATCCCTTTTCTTTCCATCTTGACAGTATCTTCCAAAAAATGGTTTTAATTTTGGTGAAGTTCAATTTATCAATTATTTCTTTAATGGACAGTACTCTGGGCGTTGGATTTAAGAATCTTTGTAAGTTTTCTTCTAGAAGTTCTAAAGCTTTAGGTTTTACATTTAGATCTATAATCCATTTCAAACTAAGTTTTGTATAGTATTTGCTCTATTCTTACAACTGCTCATACAAAGGAATCCAAATATCTCGAATACCAGTTCATTTTCATGGTAGGTGACCATCTTAACAGCTGGTAAGCAACCAATGATTAATTGCACACATAAAAGCTCATTCTGACATTCATGTGCTAACTGGCAAAACATATAGTTTTGATCAAGATATCAGTAAATGGAATAGTCACAGATTCCTTTGAAAGTCACCAACCCTAGAGTAGGATTAATGACTAGGGAAACTGATTGGTACTGTGGTTGAAATTTAAACTAAGCAGCTCTTAGCTGAAAATAAAATCAAGCCACCAATGCTAAAGTATTTTTACAGTAAAGTATAACCATCATCACCCAGATAATGAGAAGACCATGGGCAAAGGCTGCGGTGTGAGCGGAGGGCAGTGTCAGGGAGGGAAGGGCGGTTCCTTTGGGTACACACAGATCACGTGACAGAGCCTGAGGCGAGCTTGGGGAGATGGCAGGGGCCAGGTCGTCAGAGGTTTCGGAAGCCACCTGACGACTGGACTACAGAAGCCAGAGGGAGCCTCGGGAGCATCTAGAAGGTGAAATGATATAATCAGATAGGAGCTTTGGCAAGATGGCCCTGGCGCAGTACAAAGGGTGGGCTGGGCGGTGGACGGAAGAAACTGGAAGTAGCGAGACTACTTAGGAAATTATTATGAATCGAAAGTGAGAGCTTATGAGATGCTGAAGTGAGTGCAGACAGGAGAGATAAACACTGTTTTAAGGTACTATCTTCCTCTCCCAAAATGGTCAGAGATGAAAAAGAAATTAAAGTAGTCACTGACAAATGTCAGATTTTTTAAAGAAGTGTCTTTTTGTTTTCCTTTTCTCTTGAATTCAGGTATGTTGTTGCTGACTTTAATATGACTTTGGAGTTCAGGTTTTCTGCAAACACTGCTGACGACGCAGCAGGACGGCTGATTTCCAGAGCGCACACTCAGGGTCCCGCCGGGACAGGCGGAGGCGCTTGACCCCACCTGGAACCCGGCTGATGGTGAAGGAATCCGCGGCTAATGGTGACATTCGGGGCATCTGAGACTCAAATGGCAACTTAATTTCCTTCTTCTGAAGTTCAAACAGGAAATAATACTGAACAATTTTTTATGCTCTCACCATGTCTTTCATTGCAGGTGTCACTTGCCTAACGTTTCAACTGGTGTCAAGGAACTGCTTGGTGGTAGATTGACCTACAGTGATAGGTACAATGTCAAACGCTCTTTGGATGGGTCCTTCACCACAGAACCTACTGCATTTGAGGACACTTCTG